ACGATCCGGATGAAATCCTTTCTCATTAAAACTCCTGTGATCTTGTATCATTATACTGTGTTCTGAACTCTGCTTTTGTCTTTTTTATCGTTATCATCCTTAGTGTGAATGGGCTTGTTATATAAATAATCTCCACAGAGCTATTTCCGTCTGTTAACACCTGGTTCAGCTGGATTGCGTGTGTTTAGTAAATAAAGCATGAATTTGTGGTGCAATTCTGTGTGAAAAAGTGGCACTGTTTAGTGAATTCACCCTTTTCATCTATTAATGTGAAACAGAGCTCTAAAAAAAGGTCTGGAGCTGTAAAGTGGCTAACTATTGTTTCCAGATTTTTTTTCCACTTTTTTTTTTTTGAGGATGTTGTTTTTTCAGAGGAGGGGCCTTCCAGGCATCCAGTTCACTGACATGCCGTGCCAGCCTTTTCAGGTTTCTCCCGCTGTCGACTTTCCACAGGAAATGTTTTGAGGAAGTGAGAGTTGCTGATGTGACTGCTGTGAGTGGTATTGTCAGATTACAGCATGGCGCTTAAATGTTACACAACAGAGGATCATGAGAAAGACACCCAGACCGTGACCTCAGAAGCCCTGGCTGTTTCTGGTTGCGCCAAAACTGGCGAACGAAAACACACAGGTGTGTTTACATAGCAGTTCGAAGAAGACCCGGATGAGTGTTATGTCAATAGTGACTTCCTCAGGTGTCTGACCTAAAGAAGTGCTTCCATTGTTTCAGGGTCTTATCATCTGTTCTGCACTCGCTCTATAAACCGCAAAAATGACTCAATGGCTCCAAGTTTGCAAATGATTCACAGTTGATGAGTGAGTTATGGCAATTGGGAAATATTGCAATATGTCGGAACAGCGGTCCTAAATTAACTTCCCAGCAGTGTTCAAAATGGGAAAATACACCAGAACCATAAATATATCTCTATGAAGCAATGCAACTGCTTTATAATATATATATATATATATATATATATATATATATATATATATATATATATATATATATATATATATTAGGGATGTAACGGTATCAGAATTTCACGGTACGGTAATACCTCGGTATGAATGTCACGGTACGGTATTTATTGAATCATTTACAGGAAAAAACAAAACTTATGAAAATACTCCAAAAAAGTGCCAAAAGTGTCAATGACATACAAATTAGCCATCTATCTGTAAGCTTTGAAACAGGAACTTCAATTTTAATAACAAAAAATTATTAAACCATGTAAAAAAAATAAAGTTTCAATTTAGTATTGTTGAAAACTCATCACATTCAACATTTAAACACTCACTTACTTACTTAGACAGAGATGGGTTTAAAGGAAAATTATCATATAAATATAATCTGGTAAAAGCTGGTATCTCTGGGCATTTACAATGTCCCCTGCAACAGAAAAAAAACCCTCTCATTTGGGACTGAGGTTTCTGGTACAAGAGAGATATGACTTGGCCCAGGTTGACAGCAGTGGGTAACGTTGTGCATTGTCTTTCCCCCACTTGAGAGGACAAACCATGAGTAAGATAGAGGTCTCATGTCTACATCAATCTGAACAGTGTGCTGACAACACCGCTATTCAGTACGCGCGCGACAACACAGCTGATAAGAACTCGCGCGACAACACCGCTATTCAGTACGCGCGCGACAACACAGCTGATAAGAACTCGCGCGACAACACCGCTATTCAGTACGCGCGCGGCGACAACACCCGCTTTAGAGTTTTCCATCTCTTTTTCATCCCCGCTTCTAGCAGCACACTCCATTTCCGCATTACTGGATCTGTAGCGACAACAGACCGCAAGGGATGATGGTCAAGCATGGGCTGATGGGAATTGTAGTTTTCGCTACCTCCAGTTCGCTTCATTCGCCTGAGCAAATTTTTTCAGAAGACCTATAGTTTTACCGAGTCATGCGACTTCGGTAATATCGAAAAAAATTAATATTGCGGTATGACGGTATTTACAATACCGTTACATTCCTAATATATATATATATATATTTAACAGGTGCACCTATCCAACTGCTCATTATTGCAATCAATACATTTAGGCATGTAGACATGGTCAAGACAATCTGCTGCAGTTCAAACCATCATCAGAAGGTGGAAGAAAGGTAATTTAAATAACTTTGAATATGGCATAGTTGTTGCTGCCAGACCTGCTGCTCTGAGTATTTCAGAAACTGCTGATCTACTGGGATTTTCATGCACAACCATCTTTAGGGTTTACATAGAATGGTCCAGAAAAGAGAAAATATCCAGTGAGTGGCAGTTTTGTGGGTGCTAATGCCTTGTTGATGCCAGAGTTCAGAGAACAATGGCCAGACTGGTTCGAGCTGATAAAAAGGCAACAGTAACTCCAATAACCACTTGTTAACCACTTGTCAAATAACCACCAAGGTACGCAAAAGAGCATCTCTGAACACACAACAAATCCAACCTTGAGACAAATGGGCTACAACAGCAGAACACCACAACTGGTGTCACTCCTGTCAGCTAACAACAGGAAACTGAGGCTACAATTTTCATAGACTCACCAAAATTGGCCAATAGAAGATTGAAAAACGTTGCCTGGTCTGATGAGTCTCGATTTCTGCTGCAACATTTGGATGGTAGAGTCTGAATTTGGCATCAACAACATGAAAGTATGGATCAATCCTGACTTGAATAAATGGTTCAGGCTGCAGGTGGTGGTGTAATGGTGTCTGGCATGTTTTCTTGGCACACTTTGGGCTCATTAGTACCAATTGAGCATCATGTCAATGCCAAAGCCTACTTCAGTATTGTTGATGACCATGTCCATCTCTTTATGACCAATGTAACCATCTTCTTATGACTTCGTCACGCAGGATAATGCGCCATGTCATGAAGCGTGAATCATCTCAGACTAGTTTCTAGAACATGACAATGAGTTAGCTGTACTCAAATGGCCTCCACAGTCACCAGTTCCTAATCCAATAGAGTACCTTAGGGATGGGGTGGAACGGGAGATTCACATCATGGATATGCAGCTGACAAATCTGCATGTCTTAATATTAGAAAAGCCTTTAAAACCATGTGACCAACCTTTTTTGAAGATTCTTAATAGCCAACATGGCTTTATGGTTAAACATATAATGCCTGTTGGTTTAGACAGTGACTTCAAATTGTGAATCATTTGGATAAAGTGTTTTTTTTTACTGTTCATTTGTGGACAAGATTTTTTTTAAGCAAAGAAGGAAAAACTCTTAACTTTATAAAAAAAATACTGGTTTATTTGGACTAAGCCTGACACATTATGCATGATAAACCGATCAGTTTAGGTTTCAAAAGCATTGTAAGCAAAGGTAACCACTAGTCAGTATTTCTAAGGGCCTACTCACACTATGCCATCCGTACCGTGCCCAGGCCCGTTTCCCGGATCGTTTGAGAAGTGTGAGTGCACGGTTCACTTGGCCGGCCCTGGCCCGGTTGGGAGAGGTGTGCCTGAGCGCGGTACACTTGGGCTTTGGCGCGGTACGCTTGTGTGTGAGTACAAAACGCGCCAAAGCCCGAAACCGAAAGCAAGACGTGACTTTTAAGGGACTGTTTGATATGGATTTATTAATCATTCTTACTGTTCAGTGAACGCAAACTGCCGTAGTTTATTAAGGACGCAAACTCCTCACAGCACGCCAGCTGCGCGCCTTCAGCAAACCTCCTCATTCCTGCAGCACGAGAGCTTAAAGTTTGTTTATGAGTGCCAAAAGTGGCGGATCTGTTCGGCGAAATATCTGACTTCGTGTCCCTGCATCCCTAAGGACTGTTTGGCGAAATATTTGACGGCATATCAAACGACTGAAACGATATAACTAGAGAAATCTCCACTGTGCTGCTGAGTGAGAGCGTATGGCAAGCCGTTTTAGCATTTAAACCTTGTTCTGACTATCCATAAATATATATTTAGAGATATCTCTAATTATATTTTTACTAGTCATAATTATAATTCGACTAGTCAGAATGACAATTAGAGATATCTGCAATTACAATTGTACTAGTACGAAATCAGATTGGAGATATCTGCAAATATATTATGACTAGTCATATTCCTCCATTGACTTCCATTGAAAAATATTTGCAGATATCTCTAACTGAGTTTTGACTCGTCAAAAATCCAATTCAAGATATCTACAACTGTAATTCGACTATTAGTAAATTAATTAGAGATATCTTCAAATATATTTGTAAATATCTCTAAATATGATGAATTAAAGACATCTCCAAATGTATTATGACTAGTAAAAACTCAGAGATATCTCTAATTACAATTGTGACTAGTCAAAACTCATTTAGAGATATCTGCAAATATTTTTCAATGGAAGTCAATGTAGGAATATGACTAGTCAGTCATAATATATTTGCAGATATCTCCAATCTGATTTCGTACTAGTACAATTGTAATTGCAGATATCTCTAATTGTTATTCTGACTAGTCGAATTATAATTATGACTAGTCAAAATATAATTAGAGATATCTCGAAATATATTTATGGAGTCAGAACAAAGATTTAAATGCTAAATCTTAATAAATAAATAAAGCGATGACGTAAGCGTGCCGAGGCCCGATATGGTGTGAGCGCGGGCCGTCGGGGGAGACGGGAGGGGGGACAAGCGTGCTTTGGCCTGGTTCGAGGCAACTGTACCTAGTGTGAGTACGGCCTAAGATGAAGGGGCCTTGAGGGTCGACAAATCCCATCATTACCAGCAGAGTTCAACAAAAATAGCAGCAATAATTGAGTAATGATGCTTTTGGGAAACACAACCCTGAACCTAATCAAGGTCTATAGATTCACTAGAAAGCTCAAGGCAAGTGTTGGCCCTCAGGGAGCAGAACTGGACACCTGGTTTAAATTATTTTGCAGGTTTTTAATAAAACAACATTTTTATTTAATCACCAAAGCCACATTTTTTACTCTATTTTGGCACTTGACAAATATTACAATAAAGGTCTGACTGTATGAAATCTGTTTGGGGTTTTCAGCATCTTTCGAGGAGGATTCTGGGTTTGTGACAGCGGCGCTGGGGAACACATGGAGTCACAGTGTTAACACACGTCTCATCGTTCAGTATGAGGACTCAGAAAGAAGACAGGTAATCGCCAACACTGTGCAAAATTATCTTTAAATATATAAAGAGCAAACTTCAATTGCCAAAACAAACCAAGCAACTCTAGTACTCTTTAAACGTTTACAGTAAACCAGTATCATCTTACTCTGTAAACATTGCTCGAGTATAGAGCTTAGGTATTGCTGACATCTTGCACTACAATAACTTTTGTTAGGTGTGGTCACAACAATATATGCATCACAATGGGATTGAAAGGTCATTTACTGTAAGTTGCTGCCAGACTGGCTGACCTAAGTATAAGATTTACAGAGTAAAATAGAAATGTATAGTAAGCATCAGTTCTGGAAAATGCCTTTTTGTTCAGAGCTACAGTAGTGTTCAGAGAAGAATCAACAGACTGGTTCAGCTGACAGTCACTCAAAATCACTTGGTACAATCCTCTGAACACACAACAGACCAAACCTTGAAGCAGATGAGCTACAACAGCAGAAGAAGAAAAAGAAGAAAACGCTGTCAATTCTGTCAGACATACATTTTTCAGTGTATGGTGTGACTGTTTCAAGAATAGTTCAATAAATTACAGCTCCTAAATTCAAAAGAAAATCTTAGAAGTCTCATAAATACTGTATTGTAACTGTAAAGTACAGTTAATAGCTAATTTAAAAATAAGCTAAATGTGTTTCAAAAAACATATAAACTTCTCTGAAAACCATGTCCTGATGTGGAAACTATATGCAAATTTTTAATCAGGCAATTTTATGGAACATTTAAATTAGTTGAAGGACCCCATTCAAGATCATGTAACTGAAGCTCCCTGTGCTTCTTATTTATATATATATATATATATATATATATATATATATATATATATATATATATATATATATATATATATATATATATATATAAAAAAAAACTAATACTTAAAAAAAAATGTGGGGACGGTGTCATGGTGGAAAAGTGATGTCACCGGTGTTGCGTCTTAAAACTGGTATCAACGTCGATCGTGGCAAGCCTAATAAGTAGACAGTCTGCGTAATATCTATTGATACTGCCATTTATCAGTCCTTCAACAGACATTTACTGACTATAAAAAACTTTGCAAGCACATGTCAACTTACACCAACCCTAACCTCCTACCTAACGGTCTACTTATAATCTAATGAGAATCAGTTGGCATATAGATGCAATGTAACTTAAATTTAACAAACAGACCATCAAAAATAAATTGTGACCAAACCTCTTGTTATAATCGAGGTCTGCAAAAAGAAAACCTCTGAACTCACAACACACCAAACCTTGAAGCAGATGAGCTGCAATAGCAGCTGAAAAAGAAAAAGAAGAACACACTGTCACTTTTGTCAGATGAGAACAGCAAACTGAGTATACATGGGATAAACTGAAACATTAAAAGATTGGGAGAACAAGTTTGGTTTAATACGTTCAAGTAGTGGGCCAGAATTTGTGTTTGTGTTCACAAAACCCTTGAGTACTTTTTTTGAGATTTTAACTGATGTGTGTGTGTTGAGCATCAGTTAAGACAATGTTTGCACTTGTTAACTTTAATTGTGGGAAAAACTGGATAATTTGGAGCTTTTATCAGCTAATTTCAGCCTCCGGGTTTAAAAGGATTTTTGGGGTGGAATCAAAATCGGCATTCTAGCGCAAAGTAGACGCGTCGGTTTCTCATCACTATTCATAGCGGAGTTTTCTTATCCTATGAGAAGACCTTGCTTCTTAATTATTTATGACTGAACGCGCTTTCCGAAGACAAGGCAGACCTGCCAGTGCCAAGCTGTGAGACACAGACCCACAGCACGCAGTATTTAGCTGTTCATGAAGGGTCGTATGTGTTTGTTTTCATGATTCACGGGTTTTGTTGCATGTTTTTCCCCGCAATGCTGTCAGTGCCGAAACAGCAAAGCTGTTTGTGTGCAGCAAACATTTTTGTTGGGAGAGAGCAGTACAAGAATTAGAGGATGGCAGAAGTTGTGTTTTATCAGGAGTTCGTTCACATTTAGACACATTGCAGTGCTGCTGTGTTTGCCTAAATCTTCTAGATTACCAGCAGGGCTAATAGTTCAAATAGACAGGGCAAGAGACCTGCTGCACTGAGTCAGCATTCAGACCTATGATTCAGACCTGGGGATTGAGGAAAAAGTCCTCATTTATAGTGTTTATATGAACCCGATCTTTATAATGATATAAATTGTGGTTGTTTGTATATGAAATTACGAATAAAATACGTAGCAGGGCATTAAATTACTGTTTATTTCTTTACATTTTAACTTTGTAAACTATAAAATCATGCAACACCTCACGGTTTGTGTCTAATTTTGTGAGCTTACTGACAACAGTTGTCGCTCCCCTCCTTCTCCCCTGCTGGCCACGTCCACTCCACGCACATTATGATGCATGTTTTGAAAAAAATTCTAAGGTAGACCCAAACCGAAAGTGGGGGGTGTCATGGTCCTTTAAGTCTGTGTAACATCAAAATTCACAATGTTTATCTACTAGTACTTGTTGATCTTTATATTAGATTACGTGAACAATTAATTCATGCAAGTTGATCCCCTTACGAATAAAAAAAAAAATGTCTGACCATTTGCTTCCACATTTGGAGTGCTTCCGCCACTATATTCTTTCCTACACCTCTAGTAAATAGTGAAAATTGATACTTTAAGTCTGGGTGAAGTCAAAATAAATTTTGCTAGTGCACATGGTTATTCTTTAGTTTAAAAAATGAATCTATGCAAGTTAATCCATTGGGGAAAAAAAAAATAAAAACATTTTTGGTAATCTTTAATTAAAGTCTGACCAATTGCATCCTTGTTTGGAATGGCCACAATTTTCTTAACCATGCCCCACATACCGTTATTTTGCTACAAAGAAATGATGCACAAAAAACAAACACATGTGCTGATTTCATCTTTTAGTTAAGCTTGATAGAAAGAAAACTGCTTACTCCACCAGCCCTCTCGCTGTCTCAGCCTGCCCTGCTTGTTTTCATCGTGTCAAATGATGGCATACCTCATTGCCCCTACACCCACACAACCCCCAGGACTTGTTTTTCTCTTTTCCAACTGAGCTCCTACTTAAAGAAAGGCACTCTGATGGAGAGGCAGTGGTCCAAAACTGCTGGTACACACAGAAAGCAATGGTGCCTGGCTCTTTTGTGCAGCTCAGTGACTCTGGCGGGGCCACTTAAGAAAAAAAAAAACCCTCAGAAACTCCCTGCTTTTGAGCCATTTACTGTCAGCTTTACCCATTAGAGGTAAAATTATGCTGCTTGCGTGAAAGATGTGGATTTGGGTCAGAATAAGCAGAACTGGGTTGGTTTGGTGACTGACTGGAAATCTTTGCATCTGTGTGTCATGGTGCATCATTGAGGAACCGCATTCACACAAAGCAACTGGAAGGAGGTTTGTAGAAACTAACTCATTCTTAACCACCGGTAACCAGATACGCCAGAAAAAGCAGGAAAAAAGGAAAACACGGCAGTTTATTTTTTATACAAATAAGCCTAGAGCTAGTCGTTCTGCCTGAGAACGGTTAACTCGAGACGGAAATTTGCTTCATTTCTGCAGTACACAAATGAAACCGCTTTCATATTAAGTCAAAATCACAAAAGCTCTGTTTGTTTGCTTAATGTTAGCGGGTTTGAACCTTTTCCGATGGGTGTTTACTCAATAGTTAGCAGACAGATTTTCACCCTTAACCTCACGGCTGAGTTTTGTCGTGTCATTTTTCAATACTCTCGTTTTGAACATGGCACACCTCAGTGCAGGGTTTCCGTGTCGGACAAAAGGAGTAATGCAGATTGCGAAGGATCTCTTATAGGCTGTGACGCAGATTACTAGCAGACCCTGCTGAGTCTGGAAACCCAATGCCACTTCTTCCCCACGGGCTGTTTTCCAGAATCCTATGCTTGTTTTTATGCCCATTGACGTAACAGGCAGATAGATGTTCTTTTTTGTTGAGGGGGAAAGAGTTCATGTTGACATGCTGAACACAAAAGCCGCATTATTGCAGGTTTTCTTAATTTACTCTGATGATTTTCCTTTTAAAGAAAAAGAATAATGAACCAAACAAACAATTGTGGCCTGTTTAATCTGTCCTTGGGCTCTAGTTTCTGTTGATAGTTGTATGGGTCACACTTTACAGTAAAGTTCTTTTAGTTAATGCATTTAGTTCAAACATTAAGTATGAATGAGCACATCTTGAACAGCATTTATCTGAAACACTATAAAAGCATAGTAAAATAATAAATATAAAATAATATACTATCATTGGTAACATTTTATTATGATGGTCCATTTAAGAATTAGTAGACTGTCTGCTTAATATCTTGACACTGCTGTTAAAAAGATATTTAACTCACTTTAAGAAACTTTGCAAGTACATGTCAACTTACACTAACCCCAACCTAAAAGCCTATTTATAACCTAATGAAAATTAGTTGGCATGTAGATGCAATGTAGCTTAAATTTAACAAGCGGACCATCAAAATAAAGTGTGTTTCATTCAATGCAAACTCTAACAATTTGTTACACTACCTGACAAAAGTCATGTAGTCGATCTCAGTTGTAAAAGCAACAAATAATAACTTATTAAAAATCCTGGTTTATGGTCACATTCAGTATGGGGGCAGGGGTATGCAAGAGAACTGCAGAGGGGATGACAACACCAACAGCCTAAGGTGTCAAGACATTTGTGCTGCCCTTTACATTACAAACCACAGGAGAGGGCAAATTCTCAAGCACCCTCCTTGTCATACTTCAGCCTCCACATCAAAGTTCTTAAAAACAAGGTTAAGGTGCTCCAGGTTTGGCCAGCCCAGTCACCAAATATGAACATTATTGAGCATGTCGGGGGTAAGATGGAGAAGGAGGCATTGAAGATGAATCCAAGGGATCTTGATAAACTCTGGGAGTCCTGCAGGAACGCTTTCTTTGCCATTTCAGATGACTTTATTAATAAGTTATTTGAATCATTGCACAAATGTGTGGATGCAGTCCTCCAAGATCATGGGAGTCACACACAATATTAAATATGTTTTCCACTCCACCATGACTTTATATTCTATACTGTACATTATTTCTGTTAAGTGACAAGACTTTTGTCTAAGCAAGGTCAGACCTTACTGTCCTAACTAAATAATTATAAATCAAGGCATGATCATCATGTATTTTGGTAAAATAAGCGTAATTTTGAGGTCTTTGCCTTTCATATAAGCCACCTCTAAAACCGAATGATTAACTAGAAGTCAAGTTACTATTTGTTGTTAAAACTTGGAAAGGTGACAGAACTTTTGTCAGGTATTGTGCTTTTAAATATAGTATTATAACAAATTAAATCCACTGTCAGGCCTAAATATATTTTAATTTTATTTTTCCTGGGCCTTGACTTGATAACCTGATTTTAAATTTGCCTTGTCCTACTAAACCTGAATGTTGTCTTTTATTTATTTATTTATTTATTTATTTATTCATTCATTCATTCATTTTCTTGTCGGCTTAGTTCCTTTATTAATCCGGGGCCACAGCGGAATAAACCGCCAACTTATACGGCACGTTTTTTTTTTTTACACAGTGGATGCCCTTCCAGCCGCAACCCATCTCTGGGAAACATCCATTAACACACACACATTTATACACTACGGACAATTTAGCCTACCCAATTTATCTGTACCGCATGTCTTTGGACTGTGGGGGAAACCGGAGCACCTGGGGGAAACCCACACGAACGCAGTGAGAACATGCAAACTCCACACAGAAACGCAGAGGCTCGACCCAGCGAACTTCTTGCTGTAAGGCGACTGCACTACCTACTGCACCACTGCATCACCCATTATTTATTTATTTATTTTTATTTCAGATTGTCATAGCAAAGTCACCTGTGGCTCCTTTTGCCGTGCTAAGCTACACCATTCAGAAGGAAGGCATTCGTCTTGAGGGTGAGTGTGTTATGAACAGCAAACTAACAGTTTGAAAATGGGGACTAAATGGGGGGTAACTATCCCTATACGTGAACTTTCATATCTACATAAACTTTGCTAGGAACCACAGTATGTCATACTAAACCACGACAGCAGTGTTAGGCAGGTAAGTACATGCCATACAAGTGAACTATAATATGAACATGCAGGAACTATAACCAAATTCCAAATTTATATTAAAAAAATTTAGATCAAATTTTAGAAAAGTGTTTTAGCCTTCAAAGATGCTTGGGACCTAATTCAAGCTGGTTTATTTATTCAGACATTTCTGAAATGTAATGGAGAGAAGTTTTTTTTTTCCAAAAACACATTTAAAAACAATAGTTTTAATAAATGATATCAAATAGCTCATTTATTTTGTCTCTGCCATGATGACACTACAAATTATTTTAATAGATGTTTTACAAGACACTAGTATTCAGCTTAAAGGCTTAACTAGGCAAGTTATTGGGCCAATTTTTTGCTCTTTCTGTGCTAAATATTATGCAAAATATGCGCTGGTTTATGAGAAATGATTTTGAGAGTATAGTAGCTTAAAGCCTAACAAATGAAACAGTATAACCGTTTAACTTATTTAGGATATACAATGTCTTTCATATTCATTCATTTATTCATTCATTTTCTTTTCGGCTTAGTCCCTTTGTTAATCCGGGGTGGCCACAGCGGAATGAACCGACTACATATCCAGCACTTGTTTTACGCAGCGGATGCCCTTCCAGCTGCAACCCATCTCTGGGAAAGTCTTTTATATATAAAGATCAAATAAAATACAGACAATTTACTTTGCAAATGGTATTGTACCTAAATAATCTAAACATCTGGATATTATTGAATAATATAGATGAAAAAGTAATTATTTATATATTCATATACATGTACATAATCGTCAGACCCTTCATTCACAGATTTTAATATAAGCTTCTGTTGCCAAGAAACCAAGAATATAATATTTGGGGGGCTAAAAATATTCATCTTAAAAACCTCAAAACAGCTTAACTAAAAGAAACAAGACTTTATCCAGAGAGAAAAAAAAAAAAAAAAAAAAAAAATATATATATATATATAAAGAGAGCTTGAGAATATTGTGAAAATGTCTTTGATCTGTTAGAAAGGAGTGCATGTGTGGTTTATCTTTAATTTGCACTCAGTAGATAACTTAGAAAACTGCACGCTTCCTTCTCTTGTGCTTGTGTTAAGTAAATGTGGCCTTTAAAGGGATTTAAAAAAAGAAAATGAATTTGTGTCATCGCTTACTCGACTTCCACTTTTTCCAAACCTACATGTAAATAATGTTGGTTACCAAAAAGTTGATGGTAACCACAGCCTTCCAAGTTAGGAAAAAAATTATAATGTGAAGGTCTGTTGTTGTTTATTTACCATCTTTCACAATTTCTTCATTTGTGTTCTTCAGAATAAACTCATACAGGTTTAAAACACGTGGAGGGTGAGAAAGTACGACATTTTTCCTTTTAAGAGTAAACTTTCTCTTTAAAACCACACCTCAGATTCTGTTACTTTACTGAATGCCAGCAATAAGAATTCTAAAAAATAACCTTGGTTGCTTTGTAGTCATTTGCATGTGGTTTCTGGTGATAGACCTTCTAGGCAATGCTGGACAAAGTACACAAATTAAAGATAACCTACTAAATATTTCTCCAGTATACAGTTTAAGTCAGAATTATAAGCATCCCTTTGATTTTTTTTTCCTTTTTAAAATATTTTCCAAAAGTGCGCTTATCGCGTTTTAACCACTTACTGTGTATCGCATATTTGACAGATCCCTTTGTACAACTGCAGATGAAAAAGTAAAAAGCATCCGATGTGGTGCGTTCCACCACTTAAACCATTGATACAGTGATTGCCTATCAAAATAAAGAGTGCAGCACACTGCCCTTTTCTAAAGTCAACAAAAAGGCAGTGTGGTGCACCTTGCATTTTTAGAACTAAAAAGCACATTCCTTGGTCGGTTATGAAAATCACTATGTCAGATTATGTTATTTATTTATTTTTTCTTGTTAAAATCGTGACTTGTCATGTGTAACAAATGTGTCAGACTACACGTTTCTTTATAATCAGTCATCCCCTGACATCTAGGACGAGCGTTATTTACAAAAGCAGTCACAAGTGTTGCTAGAACAATATTTCGTATCTCAATAAAAATTTTTTTAATCTTTTTTCAATCTCAATAAGCACTGATACTTGCAGACAGCTAATAACTATTAGCAATTATTTAAGGGCATTCCTTGAGACATGGATAGGATCAAACTTATGATTCCTTTTTAATATTAAGATATTTTCTTTGAAATCTAAATGTATATTTTCCTGGCATGGGTTTCTTATTAAGCACTTCGCCTGAAGTTGTCGCCCATGAGACGAGAAAATGAAAGCAAATAAGTAGCAGCAAAGAAAAATCAGATGCGCAAGACATAATCTTTAAATAATGACATATTAATTAGCAAATAAACAGTATAACTGAGATTTGTGATACAATCACAGCGAAGCATTCATTAAATCCCTATTTTCCTTGAGCGTAACAAACCCGTATAGTTGAGTAGTGGAGGGGCTTAAACAAAAATAGAATTTGTTTATTTTTCTTAGAAAAAATATCATTTTGAAACCAATTCCGTTTGCTATAATTTTTATCTTAATTTGAGTGCATCTTTTGTCGGTCAGTTATCAATTAGGTGAAGCGCTTCAAAACAAGTCTGCTATATGCGCTAAAACACGAATCGCTGTGAGATTGTGTTGGTTTGTGAAATAAAATAATAATCCAGCCTCAATAAAATTAAAGTGAAGCATTCACAGTTTCAGAGAAGCCTATGTTAAACTGTTTTCACTATTAAAGACAAATTTGAACAAGCAGGAAATGCTTTTGCAATAGATTCGCAGCACTGAACCTGTTCCCAGATTATTTCAGAAGAACAAACTGTTAGAAGGACAAAAAACTCAGAAACTCGTTGTGAGAATGAAGTTACCTGCATATTTGTGTGATTCTCTCAGATAAATTAGCTTAAAACACCCTAATATTTTAGAAAAGGTAATTACAGTTTGCATAACCAATGATTGATTTTATCCACCCGTGACCCACCAATAAGTAAATATGCAGCATATTTTTTAAATACCTGACCGGCGCATTGTTGGCAGTGCCCCATGAAATAACTGAGAAAGGATGTGCTCCAATTGTCCAGTGTCACCCACGTGACGGAACTCGTCGTGAAGAACAAGAAAAAAATTAAACATGCTAGACTTCCTGCGATGGTGTCATGAGGTGCCACAGGCATGGTATTTGTTGTCGTGAACTATGCCAAATAACACTATAAGAAACTATTGAATCTTGTGTCACGATGCCCATTTGTCTTTTGCGAATCTCCACAATCAAGGAAATTGAACTGAAATTAGGGGTTTCAAAATTAATAGTTTCTTCAGTGTAATAGATCATAACCGATTATTATGTACTAACGTCATTTATTTCCTAGGCACAATGTCACAGTAAAATACTAGGCGAAGGAGGAGAGGGCGAGTAAATAAAATGCTTTTACTACTTAAAAGGTAGATAATTATGCACAATTCAACTGCTTGAGAATTTGCTGAAAAGTCTTTCGTTGACACTGACCAAGGCTCAGCACATGAGCCGCTATTTCACCACTAGGGAGAAATGCTGTAAAACTCCATCTCTGCCACTCACTCTCTCACTTTGGACATTTGACCCTATGCGCTGGCCTGTTTGTGAGGGAACTTTCTTCTCCTTTCGGTTGTTAAAGCGATACTTGTGGATCCAGACACGAGCATATATAAGTTGCGAGTTTTATCCACTGTGTCTATAATTGATTACCTGTGATAACCGCGTTTTATGAACATATAGACTGTAACTGCGGCTGTTCTTCCCGCGTGACTCATCGGTGAACGTCGCTTTCATTTCTAAAGCCAAGTGCAGCCCTTTCTGTTGAGCAGGTGAAGACAATGACGAATCATAGGGGTGTAAGACGGCGCTCAAAAAGGAAGAAGGATAATATTTACACTAGTTTATTTCCTATAAATGCTCATGCTGTCTTTTGTGCGTATTGGAGTTTTGTCTAAACTTCGTATTGTGTTTTCTTTGAGATGGTAAAGGTACAGCTCATATATCTTACTGCTTGTATTAAAGGACAATAATGTATTACAAATAATATATAAAAATTTATATATTTATAGATTTTAATTTTAAAAAATGATTGTGTTGAAGAAAAAATCGAATTGTTTATGAAAGCATCGTCAATGCACCATGATGCTCCGAGATATGCAACCGAATCAATGGCATGATAATCGTAACCGAACCATGAGACCAGTGTAGATTCACACCCTTACCAGAAATTATGACAAATTCATGTGAACTGGCCGGGGCTTAACAGGTTACCAGCATGTCTCTTGAGTCAGTGACTATTTTTCATTCATATTCCAAGTTTAAAACAACAAGACATGTTTTTTATTAAATTTAATGGAGTAAAATGTACAGTTAAATTCTCTGGATTTTACAGTGAAGTAAAAATGGTTTAGCTAAACAAAGTACAGATAAGAGAAGAGACAAGAGAAGTTTTATTTCTTCTGTTAAAGACGAAGAAATATATTGTGAAGAATTTTGTAAGCGGCCTTTGACATAGATACTATGTAAGTCAATGGTTGTTTTTTTTACAACATTCCTCAGAATATTTTCCTTTGTGTTCAACCGAAGAAACTCAAACAGGTTTTCAACAAGTGCAGATTGAGTAAATGATGATAGAATTTTCATTTTTGGGCAAACTATCCTTTTAAGTACAGTAAAAAAAAAAAAAATAAATAAATGTTTCTGGCTACTTCTGCTTCAGCCAGAACTTCTGCCCACTACAGTTTACCATGCAGGACCTCTGGCTGTCCTGTCAGGACCGTTTGAATTCACTCGTGGGCTTCACAGTTTACCTCTGGGTGGTTTGTGTGGATTCCCA